GAATAAAGCCCACCTGGTCTGTCTGTATCAGGCTAGGCACGTATGGCGTCATTCTGGTAGCCAGGAATTTTGTGAAAAGTTTTAGATCGCAGTTTATTTGTGAGATAGATCTGTAGTTGGCACACTAAGTCCTTGCCCTCTTTAGGGATCAGAGTGATGTTAGCCACCACAGTTTGAGCAGGCAGCTTCTGGCCTTGTGTGAGTAAGTTATATATGCCCTTAAAAATTGCAGATATAGGACACCCGCAAATTGTTTGTAGTAATGCAATATAAGTCCGTCGGGCGGCCCAGGCTTTTGCCCGTTTTTGTGGACTTAACTGCCTCCGCCAATTCTTCCACGGTTAGAGGTGCCTCTAAGGCTTCTATCGCTTCGTCCGTCAATTTGGAATGAACATTGGTCTCTAGGTAAGCTCATATGGCCTCCCGACGTTGTATATGCAGACAGGGCCCGACTGGGGGTTTCAGGGAGTATAAATTCTCATAGTACTAGTGAGTTATTTTAGCGATACTGTCCGGCATGTGCTTCACCAGGCCCTGTTGGTTGTGTAGGTGAGCAGTGTAGGATTTGCTCTTCTTTTTTATAACACTGCCACAGTTATTACTATTAACACAGAAGTAGGCTTTAGAGTGTTGGAGGTATCGTTGGTGACGATTATGGAAGAGAGTAGATAACGTATCCTCAGTGCAGCCAGTTCCTAAAAGACAGTCAACGTTTGTTCGGATTTATGAGCCATCTTTAACTCATGAATGTTATCAGTAAGTTAACTAATTTCTGCTTCCCTGTTCCCTTTCAGAGTAGCACCCCTAGCAATAAAGAAACCCCTTATTGTGCACTTATGAGCCTACCAAAGGACTGGGGCTGGGACTTCGGAGGTCACATTTTCTGTAATGTAATGAGTCAAAGTCCTGTAAGACAAGCGAGTCAGTCAAAAGAGTTTCATTAAGTTGTCAGTTACTAGTTCGGGATTGGGTGACTTCAAGGTCATTGTCAATGGAGAGTGGTCAGTCAAAGTTATCACACCTGTGACGAGACCAATCTCGCCACTGTGCATTGGAGGAGCCTGGTTGCCCGCCTGCTGCCTTTAGACTATGGCCCCATGTTGAAATGCTTGATTTTCCCCTGCAAAGACAAGAAAGACGGGTCATTCGGTGCTTGCCCTGTTTGAGCGGTGATACCCCAGATAGCTATGCCATGGAGCCCATTCGTATAATGAAAGACTATGGGAAAGACTTTGCCTCCATGGCAATTGAACTGTATGTGTGTGATCTGAGCGCCATTCAGTAATAATGTGCGCCCAGATCTGAGCTATCTGGGGATATGTTGAATGTACCTGTTTTATGCAATGGCTGCACAGTTATATATTTTTATGTATTTTATTGTCTTTTGCTGCCATGTGTTCAATGGAGTTTTGACTCTGTCCTCTGTGCTTTGTCCAAAGGGGAGACGATTAGTCTCCCCCTCCAGCAGCACAGCTATGTATCCAAGGGGGAGACAGTCGGTCTCCCCCTCCAGCAACCAGGCTCCCACCAGGCTACTTCCGTGGTAGTGCTGGCATCAGGGCTGAGTACAGCTGGTCTCTGCCCACCTCGCAACCCACCAATTCAGTGTACCAGTCTCCCACACAGCTGTGGTGAGGCACCTGGACATGGACAACTTTTCCCCGTACTCAGGTGTAGTAACCATTTATTGTGGGTGGGCTGTACTACTAATTGTGTTTTATGGGTGGGTTGCTGGACTAACCAGGGCACTGACCAGCAGGAGTTCAGATACCCTGTTAGTCTGTTTGGAAAAGGGGAGAGATGTGACGAGACCAATCTTGCCACTGTGCATTGGAGGAGCCTGGTTGCCGGCCTGTTGCCTTTAGACTATGGCCCCATGTTGAAACGCTTGATTTTCCCCTGCAAAGACACGAAAGCCGGGTCATTCGGTGCTTGCCCTGTCTGAGCGGTGATACCCCAGATAGATATGCCATGGAGCCCATTCATATAATGAAAGACTATTGGAAAGACCTTGGCTCCATGGCAATTAAACTGTATGTGTGTGATCTGAGCGCCATTCAGTAATAATGTGCGCTCAGATCTGAGCTATCTAGGGATATGTTGAATGTACCTGTTTTATGCAATGGCTGCACAGTTATATATTTTTATTGTCTTTTGCTGCCATGTGTTCAATGGAGTTTTGCCTCTGTCCTTGGAGATAATTGGATTACTTCACAATTATCTCCAGGATAGAAGACTCTGTGGAACTGGTTTTGGGCAGAACAGCCATGCTTCATTTGGTCACAAAGGACTACGATCTATCTTTTGAACCACTGGACCAATTTGTATGATTTTGACGTATGTTTGTATTTGGATTATGCTGATTCTGAAAATGTAAGTGGAGGTGTCTACACGTGGATTTAAAGCTATGTTGAAGTCTCTCCCAAGGATCAAAAAACCCTCCACAAATGGCATGAGTGTCTGAAGTGTAGATTTCAGAAACCTGCCCTGGATGGAGTTAGAAGCATAGATATTGGCCATAGTGTACATCTGACCTAGAATAGTCCCTTTAACAAACATGTAGCGACCCTCCCGGTGCATTAGTGTGTCCATGTGTTGCAAAGTGATCGACTTATAAACAAGGATCGCAGAACCCTTTGATTTACTCTCTGAGTTATTGCCATAATAGCCGGGAGGGGGAGGGGGGGGTAAATATGATTGGTCAGTGTGGCAAACATGCCTATGCCACGAGCTCCTGGAGGAGCCTGCTAGCTAGCTTCCTGCCCAAGCACTATGGGCTGTATCCAAAGACCCTGTTTGGGAGTTAAACCTTCCCAGCTACTATTAGCAGCTTTTCCTGGGGCCCCTGGTTCAGCACTTTCCCTTCATTCGAATGGAACCGAATACTTGCTCCCTGGCGGGAAGCGCATGAAGAAACCAACAAATTGTCTTCAGTGGTACTTTGCCGCGATCGCCATAGAACTAAATTAGACATGAGGACTTTGTGGGTTCCCCGTCACCTTCTCCTCCACTGTAAGTCTCACGGTCTGGGTGCCGCGCAGAGCATTGCCACGGTAACCAATATGTCTGTCAGAATGTGCCTTTGTATCTGTATGTTGTCCGTTTGTGTTTGTGTGTGTATCTATATATAGTCAGTGTGTATCTGTATGTGTCCGTGTTTGTATATGCATATCTGCATGTGTGTCAGGTTGTGTATCTGTGTGTCTGTATGTGTGTCAGTGTGTGTGTCGGTGTATCTATATGTAGTCAGTGTGTGTACCTTTGTATCTGCATGTATCAGTGTTTGTATCTGTGTATCTGCATGTTTGTCAGGTTGTGTATCTGTGTTTGTGTCCGTCTGTGTGTCAGTGTTCTATATGTAGTCTGTGTGTATCTGTATGTTCAGTGTGTATCTGCATGTGTGTCAGGTTTTGTATTTGTGTGTATCTATATGTAGTCAGGGGGCCCAAGTTAATGCTTGCCCAAGGTCCAATCAGAATTAAAGATGGCCCTGCCGGTGCCCCATGGTTTGTTTGTACGCCACTGTCTGGTGTGACACCATGTATCTCTGCCGGCTGGAGCTTCCGGTGTGACACCATGTATCTCTGCGGCCATCAGGAGACAAGCTGAAAAAATGGAAGATAAAGGAACACTCGTGTATGGGGTTAACCCAAAAACTGTAGAAATAAAAAGAAGAGAAGGAATGAGTGTCCTAAGAGAATATAAAATTTAATCATTATTAGTAATAATAAAGTCTTGTATAGATGTCCATAGTTAAGGTAATACCAAATAATAGACTGAAGTGTACGTACACTCTAATAAGTGACAATCTAAATAGGAAAATATGTGAAGATTTCCTGTAATGAGAAATAAGTTAATACAGGAATGGCTAGGTTCTGTTTTGAAATATACAGATACCTAAATGTACAAATATACAATTAAATTAACTAATAAATAACAGAAATATATACATGCGGATAGGAGGTCCAGTCCGAAAATGACAGAGACCTTCACCGCTGATATAAACTGAAAAAATAACTAAATAAAAAGAAACTAAGGTATGTACATAATGGAAGGAAGGTTCTAATTGAACGTTCTCAGAAACCTTCCCTGCCACGGAGCCTGAGTCCGAATAGAAGTTGGCTGTCCGTTATTCAATAATATTCAATGATGAAAATAACTGCGGCCATCAGTATGACGCAATATGACGGGACATTCACAGAGATATGCACCTGCTTGGGAGATACAAACTGTTTCCAATGACAGCCTGTGTGTCAAACGAATACACTGAGCACTCTCATTTTAGACTGCCGTCATTTGTAAAAGCCTCGTAGCCAGGGTGACCAGATCCACTATGTTTACAGGGACACAGATAAGTTTCTCATATTTATGAAAACGCATGAAAAGAGCAGCCCTGCAGTGTGTATAGTGCATCACCCATTGTACAGCGCTATGGAATCTGAAGGCGCTATATAAATAATGAAATAATAATAATATTCTGCCTTATTGCCTACTGCCTAATTGCACGATACTTCATTACCTAATTACTTAATGTAATACACCTCCTCCTGAATATTACATATTACAGGGCAACCCTTTTCATGTGCTGCCCATCAATATGTATGTGTGAAATGTGCCCTAGAAAACACGGTGGGTCTGGTTACCCTGCACATAATCTGCTTCCAGTGATAAAAAGTCTCAAAAGCGAGTGAATGAAAATTTGTGAATTTTATCAGACAGTTCAGAATCGTTTTAAATTTGGTGCTTGGTCTGGATCTAACACTTTATTCAGAATTCAGATGTGAAAAGCAATGATTTTAAACCAGACACTCTATGGATCCGTCCTAATGGAGCTCATTCGGTCAGAATGACCCATCTTTAATCAGGTTGTTGACATTTAATTGATAAACCAAAATTACTATTTTATTTTTTAAAGTTATGTTTTTTTTACCCACAATGTATTAATTTTTTACCTTATCTATTACAGATAATTTAAGCTCTTGGCGAGCGTCGTACTTGAAATGTTCAGATTACGGACAATATCGCTATGGTCCTTCGCTGGGATTTCCATTCTCTTAATTGCATCATACGTGACGTATGCCCCTGTATCGAAGGCCGACGCACAGCTTCGCCCATTCCCTCAGGAGGTTAAATGTCCAGAAAGTTTATCTGACGCAAGAAACAAATCTCGTATTACAACACAAGGGGGTCGGATATTTTTCCTTGAAACCTCCGAGAGGACAATCCCCAACTTTCAGGCCATGTGTGCCGTAGAATCTGCTGCCATCACCCACCCAAACACCAAAGTCACTGTCTTCATGAAAGGATTATCCAGCCAGACCCTCCCGCTGCCACGGAACCTCGGATTTTCGTTCCTAAGCTGTTTCCCCAATGTTGAATTTGCACCTTTGAACTTTAAGGAACTTTTTGCCAACACCCCTCTCAGTGGTTGGTACACTGCGGTGGAAAAAAACGAGCAGTTTTCTGACTTTCCCATCGATTCTGATGCCTGCCGGCTGGCTATCCTCTGGAAGTCAGGAGGTATCTACTTAGATACTGATTTCATAATCCTGAAGAATCTAGAAAATCTCACAAACATGATAGGAATGCAATCTCTGTATACGCTAAATGGCGCTTTCTTAGCCTTCGAGGCCCGGCATCGGTTTATTAAGTTGTGCATGGAGGACTTTGTTAACAGATATAATTACTGGTTTTACGGACATCAAGGACCTCAGCTCCTGACTCGGGTTTATAAATGGTGGTGTTTGATCCATAGATTAAGGGACCGAAAAGAGTGCAGGGGAGTCAGTATACTCCCTAAAGAAGCCTTTTACCCGGTTGACTGGCAGGACTGGAGGAAACTTTTTGAGACTATCAGCAGAAAAGACCTTAAAGTGCTACTAATGAACACATATGGCCTCCACCTCTGGAATAAGAAGAGCCAGGGAGGGCAACACAAGGAGGGATCGATGATAGATCAGTTAGAAGCAGAATTCTGTCCTGAAACATATAAACTAATGAAGATGTGTCTTTGAAACTGTGACAACAAATCCTCAAACATCACAATTCGAAACCAAATAAGTCAGACTGATATCTGTCCCTTCAGAAACCCTTAGAATGTGCTGAATGTGTGTGTGGGCATTTCCTGGAAGCGTCCTTAACACACATTGTATTAATAATTACAAACTGTACCTTCTAAAAGGGATCACAAAGTATTTTATATTATCCTACCCAGTGGCGTACACATGATTCATGGGGCACCGGTGCGAGAACTGATCCATGTGCCCCCCCTCCCCCTTGCTCTTACACTGCGTGGGCCCACCTTCACAAGGGTTGGGGGGACCTAAGGACTATATAGCGCCAGGAAAACAAGTTTGTTTTCCTGGCACTATAGTGGTCCTTTAATGACAAACATTCAAATACACTTACAGACAAACAGATACCCATGCAGACCAAGAGATACACATACAGACCCACATACAGACACACACACAGACACACAGAGATACACATACAGACACACAGAGATACACATACATACACACACACACACATGCAGACACACACACACACACACTCATAGTGACAGACCCACATACATACTCACTGACAAACACATATACACTCACTAACAAACACACGCTCACTAATAGACATGTATACACACACACTCACTAACAGACACACACACACTCTCACGAACAGATGCATACACACTAGCTAACAGACACACACATTTACTGACAGACACACACTCAGTGACAGACAGACACGCATACACACTCACTTATAAAACATACACTCTCACTGACTAACACACACTCACTAACAGACACCAAACAGACTCACTAACAGACACACGATCAATAACAGACACACACAAACTAACACACTCAGTAACAGACACACACACAGTAACACACTCACTAACACACACACTCACTGACACACAAAAACTAACACACTCCAAGATTAATGGAAGCTATAGCACAGTCTAAACTAGGAAACCACTCGAAACACATTGAAGTTTGGAACCTCTGGATCACATTTAGCAAAAACAGGGCATCCTCGACGGACGGGACGGACTGTCACAGGGGGGGGGGGGAGGAGTGGAGGTACTGAAGTGGGGATGACTCGCAAGGGCCAACAGAGCATTCGGAAACAGGTACCAACGAAATAGTAACTATACAGTAGACCTAACAAAGTCAACGAAACCCCACAGACAAAAATTCAGACCTGAGTGACGATTACAGTTAACGCGCAATCAACTCCAACGACTGTGACTCAAAAATACAAGAGATGGCCCACACAGACCGAACGAGCTACAGACAAACATAGTATTATTATTAGTACTTATACTCATACCACAACGCAGCCTTTAGGCTCTCTTAGTAGACAAGGTACCCAAAGCGTGACTAAATTTCCCACGAAACTAACTATCGACACCAAATTCCCACCTAGCACGAATAAGACCCTAGTAGACCATACAGCTGAGACAACTACATTCGGTATAAGCAAAAGGTATAACTTTGTCATTCTTTGTATTCATTGTATCCATGAAAACCATGTTCTGTACATATGCTTGTACCGTCAAAACTGCATGTTTTCTTACTGATGTTATACTCAAAATGTATCGAAACACGTTTTATCTGACAAAAATAAAAATAAATTTAAATATAAAAAAAAAAAAAAAAAACTAACACACTCACAGACACTCAGTAGCAGACACTCACTAACAGACACACAATCAATAACAGACACACACAAACTAACACACACACACACATACACACTCACATTTTTTTTTATTTAATCCCCCATCCTCCCTACCTTTGGGAGTGCTGAGGGGATTCCACCTTTCCATGGGGTCCAATGGGGCTGCTGGGTGGGCAGTCACTGCTGGCGTCGAGGGAGCACTGATGCCAGAGCTGGAGTGACATCATATTCCGGCTCCGGCGTCACTACGCGGCGTGCGAGGGAGCTGAACAGGAGAATCAGTGCTCCCTCGCCGCCTGCAGTGACCGGCCGCAAAATGACGCCACTGCCAGCCGCGGGGGAGAGTAGGGGGGGGGGGCCTGATGTGGCCAGCTCCTGGGCCCCCCAGGAGAAGTGGCTGGACTGGCGTACATACCGGGTCGCAGGGCGGCAGGGCCCCCCCGAGGCTTATATACGCCAGTGATCCTACCTAGATCCTGGAAAAAGATGGCCTCTCAGAAAGCGATTGGGATAGTTATACTGAGAGAATGGGTGTGGCAAAACCGACCTCGCCACGTGTCCTTGGAGGGGGCTGCTTGCCCGCCTCTTGCCTTTGGACTATGGCCCTGCAGGTTAAACTGTTTATTTTCCCTGCAGAAAGGCTTATTCGTGTGATCTGAGTGCCATTCATCTAATAATGTGCAGTCAGATCCAAGCTATCTGGGGATATGTAGAAATGTGTGTTTTATGTACTAAATGTGTCAGTATGTAATTTTATGTCTTTTACTGTCTTTTTGTCTGCCATGTGGGTAATGGAGTTTGGCTCTGTCTTTGGAGATAATTAGATTCCTTCTCCAATTATCTCCAGGGCAGAAGGGAGGAAGCCAGGATGCATTGTGGGGATGTTTTACTTTTACTGTTTGAGCCAGGGGGAACAAAAGATACTTTTACTAACTTTTGAACCCCTGGTCTGATTCATGCCATTTTTTAATATGTTGTTCCCCTGAATGGATTGATTGTGAATATGTATTTTTATGCGAATGTGATGTATATTTTGGGAGTTATGAATGTTGTGTAAAAACTGTATTTTCCCTACCTATGATAATTGTATTTCCCTGTGTGTACAGATAATTAGTTTACAGGTAGAGGGGAGGGCTATGTGTGGGATGTAACTATTGTGTGATTGGTTAATGTACGTTACTGTGTGTGTCCCTCCCCTTCATGGGAGCACCTAATAAAAAGGGCTGCAAGCTAGCAGCCAGAGAGTTCTATTTTTACCCTCAACTTGAGTCCTGTCTCTTATTGGGGGAATCTGCTACAAGGGATTGCTAGGCATATTCCCTTGCTATAATCACTGAGCTCTTGTAAGAGCTTGTTCCTGCTTCGTTCTGAAGGGAGATAGCTGCAGCCTGCGGTGCTTATGGTGTCTGGTGGAGTGCTTGGAGTCCTCTGGAAGCGCTAGGAGCATCTTTCAACGGAGGTACCCAGTCGGGGTGCCAGGTGATCCGTTACATTGGTGGCAGCGGTGGGATGGCATCCTAGTGCGAGGAGAAGCAGCTCGGAGACACCGGTAACGTGTGGAGTTGTGCAGCGTCCTTATCTTCAGCAACATAATGGAACCAGCAGTGGCTACAGCAAGCATGGCGTATAGCTACTCCGTACTAGAGTTTGGCACGATGGTAGGGTTGCACCTGAAGTTTTACGGACCCAATCCAGAGGAGAAATACGTGCGGTTCGTGTGGGACATGGTGACCCGGAACCTACAACACAGGGCGTTGAGGGAAGGCCAGTGGGCACGTTGGGAGAAACTCCAGCCACAGGTAGAGTGGGACGAGGAAGAAACCGAGGTGGCCGGTGGAGATGGGACCGAGGTCTCTCTACCGGCCCTACAGGGATGCTGGGCACCCGGCCCAGATCCCCAGCGGCAGTATGTTTTACAGGGAGGGGAGACAGTCGGTCTCACTCCCCAGCGGCAGAATGTGTTATTGGAGGAAGAGACAACCGGTCTCCCTCCCCAACAGCAACCAGAGGTACCCGAGGTAGAGGACCTCATAGACTGGTCCTGGGAGGACCCCCTGCAGGCAGGTGGAGATGGGACCGAGATCTCTCCACCGGCCCTACAGGGATGCTGGGCAACCGGCCCAGATCCCCAACTAGAGCTGGAGTTACAGAAAGTGGAGAGCATCGACCTCCCCCCCCAGCAGCAGCCGGAGTACCAGGGGGAGGTAAGTGATATTTCTCCTCCCCAGCCAACTCCTTTGTTCCCTGACCCCCCAGCAGAAGAGCTGGCAACTGGGCAGAGCGCCGCTGGCCTCTGTCCTCCCTTGTTTCCTTCCCCTGAGCCTGACTTTCTACAGGCTGCCCCAGCGGAAGGTGCCGTCCTTCCTCCCCAGCGGCAGTGCGTACCCCAGGGAGCTGATGGTGTCGTCCGTCCTCCCCAGCAGCAGTGTGTAACCCAGGGAGCCGAAGGTGTCGTCCTTCCTCCCCAGCGGCAGTGTGTACCCCAGGGAGCTGAAGGTGTCGTCCTTCCTCCCCAGCGGCAGTGTGTCCTGCAGGGAGCAGAGACCGTCAGTCTCACACCCCAGCAGCAGGACAAAATAATGAAAGGGGAGACAGCTGGTCCGCCTCTCCACCAGCAGAGAGAGTGTCAGGGAGAGGAGCCTGTTAACCCCTCTCCCCAGCGGCAGTTGACAGTCCAGAGAGAGGAGCTTGTTGCACCCTCTCTCCAGCGGCAGCCTAACCCACCAAGGGGAGATGTTGAGCCCTGCAACTGTGCAGATGGGACCGTAGTCTCTGCGCTTACAGCCCAAGGGGTAGAGACGGTCGGTCCTGTTCCCCAGCCCCAGAGCTGTGTACCCAGAGGGGAGACGGTCGGTCTCCCCCTCCCACAACCAGGCTCCAATCAGGCTACTTCGGTGGTAGCACTGGCACCAGGGCAGAGTACCGCTGGTCTCTGCCCACTCAGCAACCCACCAAGGCAGTCTACCAGCTCCCCACACAGCCGTGGTGAGGCACCTGGACATGGACAAGTTGCTACTTTATCCAGGTGGAGTAAACATTTATTGTGGGTGGGCTGTACTGCTGTTTGTGCTTCGTGGGTGGGTTGCTGGACTAACCAGGGCACTGACCGGCAGGAGGTCAGATACCCTGTTAGTCTGGGGGGCAAAGGGGAGAAGTGTGGCAAAACCGACCTCGCCACGTGTCCTTGGAGGGGGCTGCTTGCCCGCCTCTTGCCTTTGGACTATGGCCCTGCAGGTTAAACTGTTTATTTTCCCTGCAGAAAGGCTTATTCGTGTGATCTGAGTGCCATTCATCTAATAATGTGCAGTCAGATCCAAGCTATCTGGGGATATGTAGAAATGTGTGTTTTATGTACTAAATGTGTCAGTATGTAATTTTATGTCTTTTACTGTCTTTTTGTCTGCCATGTGGGTAATGGAGTTTGGCTCTGTCTTTGGAGATAATTAGATTCCTTCTCCAATTATCTCCAGGGCAGAAGGGAGGAAGCCAGGATGCATTGTGGGGATGTTTTACTTTTACTGTTTGAGCCAGGGGGAACAAAAGATACTTTTACTAACTTTTGAACCCCTGGTCTGATTCATGCCATTTTTTAATATGTTGTTCCCCTGAATGGATTGATTGTGAATATGTATTTTTATGCGAATGTGATGTATATTTTGGGAGTTATGAATGTTGTGTAAAAACTGTATTTTCCCTACCCATGATAATTGTATTTCCCTGTGTGTACAGATAATTAGTTTACAGGTAGAGGGGAGGGCTATGTGTGGGATGTAACTATTGTGTGATTGGTTAATGTACGTTACTGTGTGTGTCCCTCCCCTTCATGGGAGCACCTAATAAAAAGGGCTGCAAGCTAGCAGCCAGAGAGTTCTATTTTTACCCTCAACTTGAGTCCTGTCTCTTATTGGGGGAATCTGCTACAAGGGATTGCTATGCTAGGCATATTCCCTTGCTATAATCACTGAGCTCTTGTAAGAGCTTGTTCCTGCTTCGTTCTGAAGGGAGATAGCTGCAGCCTGCGGTGCTTATGGTGTCTGGTGGAGTGCTTGGAGTCCTCTGGAAGCGCTAGGAGCATCTTTCAACGGAGGTACCCAGTCGGGGTGCCAGGCGATCCGTTACAATGGGTTATTCATTAATGTCAAACTGCAGCAACAAGTGGTGATTTCAAACAATTCTCAGCTGTAGTTACAGCTCTGTAGGGAAGAACCCTGAGATATTATCAATGAAACCAAGAGGGCTGCACTCACCTGAGCCATCTTGGTTTCATTTATATATTTAGGAGTCCAGGCCAACTCCTTGGTTTTGCACCCCTCCCTGTCACAGGTGCCTCGTTCCAGGATCCTATTTATCCTTGACCTGCAGAGAGTCCCAGGAGGAAATAGTTCCTAAGTAAGTGGATTGATCTCATGAGGGCAGGCATTAGGCTGCTAGAGTTGGGCCATTGACGTTGTGGCAGGCTTATGCAATGTATGATCAGATATTGTAACTAAACCCCCATTATTTTTGCCTAGATTAGGTGTTTTTAAATAAAACTATTACAATCTGTGAGATTTAAGATCATTGTATAGTGAATGAGTGCGCTGGATTGTGTATTTTGTACCCTGAGAGATTATGTCATTATCGATTACAAGGTGCTCTGGTACCCACTATTATTAGTATTTATATAGAGCTATAATATTCTGCAGTGGGGAGCAATTTTATTGGTGTGAGTCTTGAGTTCCTTGAGTCTGTTTGCCTTTTACAGCGTGATTTTAATGATGTCTTGGGGGCGCAACTGCCATGAATAGAAGGTGCATGATGGGAGTTGCAGTCCATGGCTGCTATACTGCAAGAGTTGTCTTTGTCCTCCCAAGGAGTAAATGTAACCAGGCAAACTTTTATTAAAGGAGCACTATAGGGTCAGGAACACAAACATGTATTCCTGACCCTATAGGGTTAAAACCACCATCTAGCCCCCCTGGTCCCCTCATGCCTCCCTAACAATAGCAAAATTATACTTGTATTCAAGCAGGAAGCTGCTTCCTTCCTTCCACTGTTTCCTTTAGACCTGCCCACTGCCTGCTGACATCAGCAGTAGTGGTGATCTGAGCCAATCACAACGCTTCCCCATAGGATTGTCTGAAATTGTCAAGGGGGCAGAGCCAGCATGATTCAAACACAGCCCTGGCCAATCAGCATCTCCTCATAGAGATGAATTGAATCAATGAATCTCTGTGAGGAAAGTTCAGTGTCTGCATGCAGAGGGAGGAGACGCTGAATGTCAGTCACACTGTGCAGCACTGCCCCAGGAAGCACCTCTAGCAGCCATCTGAAGAGTGGCCAGTGGAGGTATTCCTAGGCTGTAATGTAAACACTGCATTTTATCTGAAAAGACGGTGTTTACTGCAAAAATCCTGAAGGGAATGATTCTACTCACCAGAATAAATGCAATAAGCTGTAGTTGTTCTGGTGACTATAGTGTCCCTTTATTTAGCTCAGCATGCTTTCTGTGGGATTCAATTTGGGGTTATTATCTGGCCAGTCTAGCAGTGTAATATTTTCCTGAAACCAGTTTTTGCACACAGCAGCAGCAACATGACAAGGAGCTGAATCATGTAAAAATATATAGGCTTCATTATCCTGGATAAAAGTCATGTGCCGAAGGCTTCAGTTTTGGCTCAAGTACATCACTGATGTATGTCTTGCCATTTACAGTAAATCAATCAGAAAAAATCTGCCCACACCTTTCGCTGTCACTCGACGCCAGATCATAACACTATCCATAACATAATCCGATAGATTGTAAGTTCGTTTGAGCAGGGTCCTCTTCAACCTATCGTTCCTGTAAGTTTTCTTGTAATTGTCCTATTTATAGCTAAATCCCCCCTCTCATACTATTGTAAAGTGCTACGGAATCTGTTGGCGCTATATAAACGCAATAATAATAATAATACTAACTGGAGGCTTCATGGTGACTGTAATGCATTCAGGCAGAAAATAAGCTCCACTTATTCTTCTTAAATACCTTATTCTATCACTATCAGTTATTGATAATCTAGTCTCATCACTCCAGATGACTTTATCCATTGTTCCATGAGTTTAGCCCGTTCTAATCTCTTCCTTCTCAGGCTGGGAGATGGAAATCGCTCTTTCCTTTGAATTCTAGAGTTTAAACTGAAGCCTGAGTCGGCAGCTAACAGCCATTTTAAATTTTATTAAAGGACACGGAGGCTCTTATTAGGCTTATCTCTTTCTTTTATTCCTCAGCAGCAAAGAAAGCTAAGGTGTTTATTTGTAGAAAAAAACATACATAAATACCCTCACAGGGTTAACCTTACATCATTATCTCTTAACCAATAGGAACAGTCCATCTCTGATATCCTCTCATGTAACCTCCTCCTCTTCCTCTTTCTTTGCTGCTGCCTCAGCTAAGTAACACCTTCATTTTTCCTGATATGCATTGCTTAATTTGATTCTGTGATTTCTGTTGATTCTGTGTTGTTGCTGCAGTATAATCTCCTGACTACTGTGTTTTTCCCTCCCACTCTCAACCCTCCTGTGGGTTCACTCAGTGGGGAAACCCCTCCCACGCACCCCCGCCGGTTCCCCGACCCCAGGGCGGGTATACCGGCTGTTCACCTCACTATCGGGTAGTTGATTACCCGTCCTCCCACCCGCGGCACTCGGGCGCTGGGCGCAGGGAAACCCCTGGGAACGGTTCAAACTGTTCCCTGACGGGGTTTTTTCCTCGGCGCCAGTGCCCGCGAGTGAGTGCCGCGCGCGCATGCGCATTTCCAGCCGCGACCCGCGGCGGCCATCTTAAAGGGGCGGCAGACATAAATTTTGCCGCTCTTTTTTCCCCCTCAGCTCGCTCAGCCCAGCAAGAAGGGGCGAGCTGATTGGTTTAGAGGTCTGCCTGTCAGCTTACCAGTGCTCCCAGAGGGCATTCCTGAGGGAACACTCGGTAAGCTAGCAGTGCAGCCTTTTTCTGTCCTGTCTTTGCCTTGTCTGACTGTCTACCCTGCCCTGCAGTGTGTAATTAACAGCCAAAGTTTTTACTGCCAGACTGTGTGAGTCCCATTATCCTGCCACTAAGTATCTAACTATGCAGGCCCCTAGTGAGCACCCTGTCTCTGGCCCCAGTGATGGTGAGGACACCAACGCCCGCCACCAGACCAAGCTGTCTGAACCCCTAACCCTCCAAGGGGATGCGGTGGCTCCGCTGGAGCAGCTGGACTCGCAGGAGTTCCACTCACTCCTGGACGCCACCATGTCACGGTCGGTCACCCAAGCGATTTATTCTGCAATGGGGGCTATGTCTGACAATCTCTCTCACTCCATCACTACTGCTCTTAAGGCATCCACCACCAATTTGCCCCGCGCTAGAGCCGTGGCAGACGGGTCATTACGCAGGGAAGGCCGGAAAGCCATAAGCAAAACCCATCACGTGCAAACTCCTACCTCCAAAAAAGAATTGACAGACAGGGTACGTCCTGTCACCGCTGAGGTCGTGGGGCCCCCACGAAAGAGAGCCACCCGCCGGGCAAAAGCGGCGCGGACGTGGAAGAGGGCAAAAGCCCTGTCAGATTCTTCCGACACTGATTCGGATAGTGAGGAGGTTTTGAACGAATCCGACGAGATCGACTCAAATGAATGGGAGGTCTCCTCCCCGGACCATAGTCCGTCACGAGATCCAAATACCCTAAGGTATGATAACGCGGATCCGTCCGCCATTTTGGATCCACAGGGCGAACCTCTGTTCGATCCCGATACATTACAGAACCCTAGGTCAGCAGAGTGGTTCCCAACTGAGCATGTGGCACGCTATATAGCAGCCAGAATCCGTAAGCCTTTAGATAAGGCCACCAGGAACAAGTTGCGGGCAGAATGCCCACGGCCAACAGTCCCCGACATGGCCTGTGCCACGCCGGATATAGATCCCAAGGTAGCACAGTTCCTGGGAAAAACTGGCTGGAAGGCAAAGAAGGGATTGGATTACTCCCTACGCCACTGCCAGGACAAGGTACTCGATACACTCGGCCCTAGTGCCAAAATCTTCGAGCTGGTTGAAGCAGCCCTAACTGAGGGGGCACCGTTAGATTTGCTAGCCATTAGAGGCTGGGCCCAGAGGTCCATTTGCCTCATCGGCAACGCTAACGCCGCGCTAGCCACTGAGCGGCGCAAAACCATTCTTATGAAAATTGAGCCCAAGCTCGTAAACATGGCCCTCACCGAACCGGGGCCACAAGCCAAAGGTCTCCTATTCGGAGACAATTTCGTTAAGGAGTTAAGCACTTACGTAAGCACGTTTACGGCCCTAGACAAGGCACAGACAAGCATAAAAAGAGTGTTCTCTCCCAGAGTTTTTGGTGGGGCCGGCAGACACCGGGGCCGTCTGCCCGGCCGTTCATCCCGTGGTTCATACCGGGGATACCGAGGTCCCGCTACGGCTAGATTTCAGCCGCCAGAAAACAGAGCACCCTCGCCCTTTTTTCCGGTCAGAGGCAGACCATGGCGACCTCGAGGAACCAGAGGCACCTCATACAGCCGACGGCCTTATGGTGAGTGCAATACCTTTCCCCTCCCCGGGTATACACAGCGTAGGGGGCAGACTGTTACACTTTATAGAGGTCTGGCAACACTTGACAACAGACTCGTGGGTCCTAAATACTGTAGTAGGGTACCGCATAGAGTTCGTACAACCCCCTGTCCAAACTACCTGGCCACACCGAATAACATTCTCCTCACACGACAGGGACCTGGTGACCAAAGAGATCCTCTCACTCCGAGAAAAAGGCGCAATATTTCAGGTTCCCTCACCCTTCCCGGGGTTCATGAGCAATCTATTTCTGGTACCCAAGAAAGGAGGCGGAGTCCGCCCAGTCATCAACTTGCGGCCCCTAAACGCATTTGTCCGATACCGCCATTTCAAAATGGAAGGTATCCACTGCTTACGAGACCTGCTCAGAGTGGGGGACTGGATGGTCAAACTAGACCTGCAAGACGCCTACCTCACGATCCCTATAGCGGAAGAATGTCGCCACCTACTCCAATTCCAATGGCAAGGAGCGACATGGAGATTCCAATGCCTGCCCTTCGGACTCTCATCAGCCCCTTGGTGCTTCACCAAGCTCCTAAAACCAGTGGTCGCGTTATTGCGCAGCAGAGGCATACGAATGATCATATATCTGGACGATATGCTGCTCATGGCGCACGAGGCCTGCCAACTCCGACAGCATCTATCCTGGGCATTGACCCTGTTAAGAAATTTGGGATTCCTCATCAATTGGAAAAAATCGGTACTTACCCCATCTCAACACATGGAATTCCTGGGATTCCACATAGACGCAACGACCGGGACGCTCAGTTTGCCAACAGACAAAGTCAAGAGCATAAAAAAGGAGATCCGCAGAACACTGACAAGACCAGTGTTAACTCTGCGACAACTAGCCAGGGTACTTGGACTCCTATCAGCCTCCATCCAGGCAATCTTCCCGGGGCCTCTACATTACAGGGCTCTGCAAAGGCTAAAAGCCTCACATCTACGCTCGGGGCACTCATACTCCGACTCCGTCCCACTCGACCACGAGGCCAAGCAGGAACTCACCTGGTGGCTGCATCATATGGAAGCATGGAACGGCAGGGCTATCTTCGGAACTGCCCCGGACTTCACCATAGAGTCCGACGCGAGCACACACGGTTGGGGAGCGCGCTGCGGGCCTACCTCCACCGGAGGCATCTGGTCACGCTCAGAGAAAGAATTACACATCAACGGCCTGGAACTCATGGCGGGGTCATTCGCCCTGAGAAGTCTCCTCGGAGCCGCAACCAACTGCTCCATTGTCCTGCGAATGGACAACATATCTGCAGTCCGATACATCAACCACCTCGGTGGCACAAAGTCAAGGATCCTGGCGGACTTGGCCAAAGACTTTTGGCAACATTGCCTGGCACGCAATATTTCGGTACAAGCGGAATACATCCCGGGCATGTCCAACATAGTGGCGGACTGGTACTCCAGACATCTGCGAGACACCAGCGACTGGCGGCTAGACCGCAGTGTGTTCTTACGACTTCAGACGCTCTGGGGCCCGATGCAAATCGATCTCTTTGCGTCTCGTTTGAACTCCCAATTGCCAACATTCTTCAGCTGGAGGCCGGATCCAGACGCCCTGGCAGCGGACGCTTTTTCTCCAACACTGGCCACACAACAGATTGTATGCATTTCCTCCGTTCTCCCTCACAGCTCGAACACTGGTGCACCTCAGGCGGACTCAAACGTCATTGGTCCTCATAACCCCGTTTTGGACAGCTCAGCCGTGGTTCCCCACACTCATGGAGATGTCTATAGACCTGCCGAGACACTTACCAGACGTCTCATACCTTTTAGCAGATCCAGAGGGCAAACCACACCCCCTGTTGGTACGGGGGCAACTCAAACTTTTAGCATGGTTGCTTTCAGGGGACCATGGAGCGTCCCAGAGGTTCCACAGGAAACTATCGATCTACTGGCAGGAGCTTGGGCGCCTGGAACGAGACGCTCCTACCTCTATGCCTGGAACGGATGGAGTAGTTGGTGCATGGAACAGCAGGTGGATCCCATATGTGCTCCTATAAATTACCTGTTGCGTTTCTTTACCAACCTATACAATCAAGGTTTGGCCTATCGCACCATCAACGTGTACAGGTCTGCAATCTCAGCGGGACACCGGGGAATAGATGGGACCCCAGTGGGCCAACAACAATTGGTATGCCGTCTCCTTCGAGGTATTCGGTTTGCTCGTCCACCGCAACCCCGATACACGTCTCTATGGGACGTCAACTCAGTTTTACAACTGTTAGAAACTTGGCCACACAATGAGACACTCACACTGAAACAACTGTCAGCAAAACTAGTCATGCTCCTCTGCTTGATCTCTTGTAAGAGAGTGTCAGACGTCAGGGCGTTGGACGTTGATGCAAGATCCTTTACTCCCACGGGGGTTTCATTCAACATCTCCAGACGTACAAAGTCATCAATTACCTCAGTTTCGTATCCAGCATTCCCGCATAACCGTAAACTCTGCCCGGTGGTTTGCTTGAAGGAATACGAGACAAGGACCCTGGAATTCAGAAACCCGAGGCACCCGGAATTGTTTTTAGCTATCAAACAACCACACCATCCCGTATCCACGGTAACTCTCGCCAGATGGGTGAGATGGATAATGGCCTTAGCCCACATAGATACAACTGTATATGGTGCACACTCTACCAGGGGGGCCATGGCTTCAAAGGCTTTTAATTTAGGTTGTAAATTGGAAGATATCATGAAAACAGCAGACTGGTCTAGGGCATCGACATTTAAGGAATACTACTTTCGACCTACAGAACATGTGTCAAGTTTAGTTATTGCACAGCTTTAAACTAGCCTAATAAGAGCCTCCGTGTCCTTTAATAAAATTACCAGATTTTACTAATTACATGACGTAAAGTCATGATTTTATAAAGGACACGGAGGCGAGTATTAGCCCACCCAGGGCAGATACAACAAAACATTTGTATCCCAACCCAGGTACGTAATAGGGACTTTTTTTCGTTAAATGAGTTATCATTGATATAAGGTATATGTGTTACGCTATGGTAAATCTATCAAACAAGGAATGATTGCATGTTTAATATATGATTGATTACATAAACAGCTCACCTTTTAATACCATAGTAAGATGAAAATAGTTGGCAAGGACACGTTTTACCATTTGTTTTCTTTGTCTTTCCAGCCTGAAACACAGCTAAAAGATACCCACTGATGACGAGAAATAATCTCGCAGTTTTGAGAGGATCAGTTTCGGAAGATCCCGCGTTATTTGTGGACGGATTCAACTTCAACGTCAAGTATCCAGTTGTCAACCGTTTGTGTGTTTTGGTTATAACGAATTTTGTTACATACTAATGGTGATTTGTTCGCTTCGGCATCATCAAGAAAGAGGAAGAGGAGGAGGTTACATGAGAGGATATCAGAGATGGACTGTTCCTATTGGTTAAGAGATAATGATGTAAGGTTAACCCTGTGAGGGTATTTATGTATGTTTTTTTCTACAAATAAACACCTTAGCTTTCTTTGCTGCTGAGGAATAAAAGAAAGAGATAAGCCTAATACTCGCCTCCGTGTCCTTTATAAAATCATGACTTTACGTCATGTAATTAGTAAAATCTGGTAATTGTCTCAGATTATTTTCTTCTGTCACTTATAACACAGTTTTAAAAATCTCTTCTATCACTTTGAGTTGTTGCGCACCTTTCCGGCCTTTACCAGTTTGGTTTTGAATTGGCCGTGTCTGCAGATATCTCCTGCCCAGTTTAGAAATACCTCGTTTGTTACATTTTCACATAATTGTGGCCTTCTTCACATTAACTTATTTGACATCATGTTCTAGGTGACCAGTCAATTCTCTCTCCCCCTGCAGTTTGTTATCTCGCTAAGTTACTCACCTTAACCCCTTAAGGACCAAACTTCTGGAATAAAAGGGAATCATGACATGTCACACATGTCATGTGTCCTTAAGGGGTTAAAGGGACACTATAGTCACCTGAACAACTTCTGCTTAATGAGGTTGTTCAGGTGAGAACTATAGCTCCCTGCAGCCTTTGTCATGTAAGCACTGTATTTTCTAAGAAAATACAGTGTTTACATTGAAAGCTAGGAACACCTCCAGTTGCAGTCAATCAGAGTGAACCAGAGGGACTTCCGAGTTGATGGAGGCATAATATGTCTCCATCCACTCAGATCTGCTGTTAGCAGAGCACATGGCAGCACTGTGCACAGCATCCTGTGATTCAGTGTCTCCTCCCACTGCATGCAGACACCTAACTTTCCTCAGAGATTCATTGATTCAATTCATCTCTATGAAGAAATGCTGATTGGCCAGGGCTGTGTTTGAATCATGCTGGCTCTGCCCCTGATCTGCCTCTTTGTCAGTCTCAGCCAATCCTATGGGGAAGCATTGTGATTGGATCAGACTACCACATGTCAGCAGACTGCTTGTTTTTCTGAGTCTAACAGCATGCAGATTTACAGCTTCAGGCTTGAATACAGTAAGATTTTTACTATATTTATGGAGGCATAAGGGGCCCAGGGGGGGCTAGATGGTGGTGTTAACACTCTAGGGTCAGGAATACATGTTTGTGTTCCTGACCCTATAGTGATCCTTTAATAAATTACCAAAAAATAGAGAAATGCCTGGCCAACATCTCTGGAAGCAGTGACCATCTGGATAACACGCGTACTACATATTCCCATTATGTACATGTGGTTAATGGGTTAAAAGAACAGCTGGTAATTTGCTATGCTGTACCATGAGAATTCTGCAATATGGATGTAGAATGAGAGATTTGACGGTTTTCATATGTCCTTATATGGCCAGAGTCTTATCTACAAGTTCTGAAATCATTATAGTCATGGCTATAAAAGAACAGTATACAAAGGTCCACGTTCTACAACATTTCTGTTGTTCCCCAGACTTTCTGGACAAAGACGGTTACTCTCCCTCGACGATCTCTCTCTCTGTAACAATGTTGTACCATTTGTTATGGTTTTTTGCTGTTTGCATTGTGAGCTGAATAAATGGATATTTTTTTATAAAGAACGTCAGATTACTTATTAATGTTTGTGTGATATAAAAGTATATTACCATGAGCCGTTTAACAACAGTATATACATAAAGGCATATTCCAATCACTCTTTACATATACATATTTATTACACACTGAATAGGAGCCCAATTATTAGCTCTCATACATGGAAATAAGTTCCAACCCACAAAACTTTATTGGTCCTTTGGTGTGATATCATAACACCCTATTGATTCTTTGGTGTGACATAATAACACCCTATAGGTTCTTTGGTGTGACATCATAACACCCTATTGGTTCTTCGGTGTGACATCATAACAAGCTATTTGTTCCTTGTTGCGACATCATAACACCCTATTGGTTCTTTGGTGTGACATCATAACACCCTATTGGTTCTTCGGTGTGACATCATAACAAGCTATTTGTTCCTTGTTGCGACATCATAACACCCTATTGGTTCTTTGGTGTGACATCATAACACCCTATTGGTTCCTTGGTGTGACATCATAACACACTATTGGTTCGTGCCATATGTTCTGGAACTCCGGGACCGCATGGAGAAACTGTCCCTGATGGTAAGGGAAAATCTCCAGGCGGCCCAGGGGAGACAGAAAAGATGGTACGATCAGGGTGCCCGACAGCGGGTCTTCCAGGTTGGGCAAAAGGTATTGGTGCTCAAACCTGTGTAGGCCAACAAGATGCAAGCATCTTGGCAGGGCCCGTACAAGGTAGTAGCGCAGATCTGCGATACTACTTACTTGATAGCCAGCTGTGCAGATGAGAGGGTCCAGCGATCCTTTCATGTGAACATGCTGAAAGAGTACCAGGAGAGGCCTGAGAATATTGCAGCCGTATGTGCCCCAGCTGCAGATGATTCTGAGAATCTACCCCTTCCAGATTTGTTAGAAAGGGATTCCCAGACTGACCTTACTACCTTTGTACAGCTAGGGGACAGGTTGAACCCCACAGAAAGGGTACAGGCACAGCAGTTGTTGTGGGAGAAGCAGGCGACATTCTCCCAGGAGCCAGGTTATACCACCCTAGCTATACATAAGGTAGAGACCCCTGGACAGACCCTCTTACGACAGCCCCCCTATCGTATCCCTGAAGCAGTCCGGGAAGGAATGCGGAAGGAGATACAGGAGATGACCCAACTTGGGGTCATTGAGCACTCCGACAGCCCTTGGGCCTCGCCTGTAGTCCTGGTACCCAAGAAAGATGGGACCACCCGGTTCTGTGTGGACTACAGGCGGCTCAACGAGCGGACCACCACTGTCGCCTACCCAATGCCCCGGGTAGACGAATTACTGGATCGTATTGCCAGGGGGCGCTATCTGACCACCATAGACCTGTGTAAGGGCTACTGGCAGATCCCCCTGGCCGAGGATGCTATCCCCAAGTCGGCATTTGTCACCCCATTTGGCCTGTACCAATTTAAGGTCATGCCTTTTGGGATGAAAAATGCACCGGCTACCTTCCAACGGATGGTGGATAGACTCCTGGATGGCTTCCAAGAATTTGCCTGTGCATACTTGGACGACATTGCGATCTACAGTGGGTCCTGGGAGGAACACCTGGTTCATGTAGGGGTGGTACTGGATAAAATTTGGGCCGCTGGCCTGACATTGAAGCCAGAGAAGTGCCATCTAGGTATGGCTGAAGTACAGTACCTGGGTCACAGAGTGGGGTGTGGGAGCCAGAGACCAGAGCCAGCCAAGGTAGAGGCAGTGGCTAACTGGCCCACACCTACCACTAAGACCCAGGTACTGGCCTTTTTGGGGACGGCAGGATACTACAGACGTTTTGTCCCTGACTACAGCACTATTGCTAAGCCCCTGACAGACCTGACAAAGAAGAACTTGCCTAAGCAGGTCCTGTGGTCTCCGGCTTGTGAAGCTGCGTTCCAGGCACTGAAACAGGCCCTTGTGAATGCCCCTGTCTTGGCTGCCCCAGTCCCTAACAAACGTTTTCTCGTCCATACAGATGCTTCCATGTATGGACTGGGGGCTGTGCTGAGCCAAGTCGGGGAAGATGGAGGAGAGCACCCTGTCGCATATCTCAGCAGAAGGTTGTTACCCAGAGAAGTGAGTTATGCGGCAGTGGAAAAGGAGTGCTTAGCCTTGGTCTGGGCATTGAAAAAGTTAAGTCCCTACTTGTATGGGCAAGAGTTTTCCCTGGTGACT